TTTAGACTATGAGAAATAAAACTGTGACCACAATTTTAAAACTCCCTAAAAGATGACAAGCCTTGGCCGGGCGCGGTGGCTCAAGCCTGTAATCCCAGCACTTTGGGAGGCCCAGGCGGGTGGATCAGGAGGTCAAGAGATTGAGACCATCCTGGTCAACATGGTGAAACCCCGTCTCTACTAAAAATACAAAAAATCAGCTGGGCATGGTGGCGCGTGCCTGTAATCCCAGTTACTCAGGAGGCTGAGGCAGGAGAATTGCCTGAACCCAGGAGGCGGAGGTTGCAATGAGCCGAGATCACGCCATTGCACTCCAGCCTGGGTAACATGAGTGAAACTCCGTCTCAAAAAAAAAAAAAAAAAAAAGATGACAAGCCTTTTAACTTCAGTGATTTTTAACTTCCCTTAGCATCCACACCTTCTCCTAAGCATGGTTGCTGAATACTTAGACCTTCAGAGTAGGCAAATACCACCTGGAAGTATAATACATTTCCATTTGGTTTCAGGTGTCATGTGGTAAAATGTCTAGAACGCAGGGCCCCGAATGGCTCTTGGAATAAACAACAGTTGCTTTCTGTTTTAGGTCTACACTGTGAACATGAAGCAGAGAGGAACCGCTCACACTCTGCCTGTTACAAGGCAAAGTAAAAATTAAGCACAGCATGCCATCGCATACTTACAAGTGACTTATGTGAGCATTCCTTATAAATAGATTTTGAGAGTGCCAAGGTTTCCAACGAAATAGGAAACCATTAAAATGACTTAGCATTTATCATTTCGGGAAAAATGGAGAGAGCACTGATTCTCCGCCAGCCATAACTGACGCTTCAAGGACTGTAAAAGTGTCATAGACAATGGCCAAAACTATGGAATTCATGGCCAAATCAGGGAGACGTTTTAAACTATGGCTACAGTCACCCCAATGGCAGTACAATATACTTATGGCATATAAAGAAATACACATGATGCTTGATTTAATAAGCCTCCTTTGGGGATGTTGATGAGTTATAGTTCACAGGTCTCTCTAATAATGCTAAAGCTTTATTTCAAAAAGAATACCATATGTTTTAAAGAAAAATGTAATAGTAGTAAAATAAGATTATATGGTACAGTATACATGCTCCTCCATCATACAAGTCTTTTGGAGAATGAAATAAATAACAGAAGAAAGCTCTTGCACAGTCACCTGAAGAATATTTTTAGAAGTTCTTAAGAATGCTAGCAGTTAACGTGAGCTAACTTTTATAATACAACCCAAAGTTTAACACTAATAAAAATGTGTATAATAAAATTCTATATATGTATGTATATATTTACATATAAATATATGAATACAAATAGTATACATTTATATAAATATATAACATACATTTACATATTAAATTTGTAACTTAAACACGCACAAATCTTCACACACGAATATACACATACATGTATATAACATGTTAATAGTGTAATTACAGAGATTTTCAATTTCTTCTTTGGCTTTTCTGTATTTTTCAAGTTTTCTACATAGAGTGTGTGTTAAATTTGAATTCAGAAAAAATATACATAGAGTTTGCTGGAAATTATTTAAGACCTGGGTTTAGCACAAGTGGTGTTTAAGGCATCTATTCTTTTTTTTCAGTCAATCTTTAGTGTAATGATTATAACAGATAAGATTTTTAAAATTTAAAGACCACAGGCTTCCTTTTCCTGGTAGAAATGACATCTCTGTGAAGTCTGCTTCATAGATGGCATTAGGTGACCACAACGATTAGCATACCACAAGTCTCAGAACCACCGGAGCTGGTTCATAAACTATTAGACTTAACTTCTCAGTCCAAGCAAATCTCTAATTTAGGCACGGGGGGAAAAAGAAAAAGGAAGCCCCAAGTCAAAGGAATTGTCTGTCACTGACAGTTTGTGGAAGGAACACAGGCATGCTTTTATTCTAATCAATGGGTGCCACAATGTTAGCATATTTAAAAGATAATGACACATACTTGATGGTCACAAAGGAATCACTGATGGAAAATGAGCATTTGGGGTATTATTTCAGACTTTTGGATTTCTTCCATGTTTCAGAAAAAAAAAAAATCTATGCTACATTTCAAAAGAAACTGGAACCTTACTGTTCATTCACATGTTCTGTAATTTCGGACAATTGTCCCGAATCTGATCATGAAATTTTTTTGTTGTTGAATGAAGATTGACTTCTAAGTCACTTTATTTAAATACCAAAAGCAAAGGGAAAAGCCAGTCCTCTCCTGCCACTTTCTCTGGGCTCCCAGGCCCTGCATGCTTCATAGTTGACGGTACACCAAACATTCTCCACATGCAGTGCACAGCCTCAGAGCGCTCTCCAACTCAGCAAGCTCAGAGCTAAGGCCCTCCTATTTCTCCACGTGGTATTCTGAAACACATAGAGTGTACTGCAGAATTTTATTAAAAGTCTTGGTATATACATATGAACTTGATATTTGATATCTGATTTTTCCTATTTCATATATTTTAATAAACTTAATTTATTGTGCCTCATTTACACTTGCATACTAGAAGGTGGCATATCCTTTTAATTGTTGTTGTCAAAAATATGTCACTCTACTGTCACACAAATCAAGATACATTTAGAGGCATCCTGCTCAGTTCTAAAATTAGGTCAGTACACCTACAAAATGTTTCCTATTTCACAAGGCCCTCCATGCCCAACCATCTGTTTGCTCCTGCTCCCTCCCCCATCCATTAATACCCTCTCCCCAAGTAATTCTTTTCTGCTTCTGTATTCCTTATTCTCTTTCTGTGACAATGTCAAAGACAATAGCAAAACCAAAGAGATATTATATTAATCAAGATAACTGATACTAGGTGCTGTAATAAACCCAGTTTTCAGTGGCTTATCATAATATCAAGTTATTTCTTGCTTATGCAAAGTCCAATACCCCTCTTTTCAAAGCAATGACTCAGAATGCCTTCTCCTTTCATTCTGTGGTGTCACCGTCCTTTAGGCCCTCAGAATCTTTCATTTCTAGCAAGGTGGACAGAGAAAGAATGAGAGAAAGAAAGCGTTCGTGGAATATGTGGTCATCATCACTAGAAGTGCACCGGCCAGCACCCAGTCACGTGGTTCTATCTAGCTGCTGGACAGGCTAGGAAATGTGTGTCAGGAAAGAGCAGATGTAGGTAAATACCAGCTGTCTTGGCCACATACAGAGTCTCTCACAATTCTTTCCACAATAATATCATTTCAGGTGGACCACCCTAATCCAGAGTGCATTTTAATGCACATGCTTCCTTTACCACTCCAGCCACCCTGCTGCCCTCTCTGCCTTATATCTCTGGCGATATACATATATATATATATATATATATATATATATATATATATAT